CCAACTATGCAAGTCTGCGTGCAAAACAGGATACATCAATTTAATTTACACTTTTACATTTCCATCTGCATTAGCCATCTGATTACGGCAATAGAATAATTATTTCAAGTTAGTAGGACCGTAAAAACCCAGTTAAAAACAATCAAAATGTAATTTAGATTTAAGAAACACTTACCCCAACAAGTCTGTTATGCTAAAAAAAAATAACTTTTAAAGAATGAACATTTCAAACATTTAGAGTTTGACAGAGATTACACCAATGGAATAAATACAATCAATATTTTGAAGTGTATCATACCTAGATTCCAATAAATAAATAATCTCTATATCTTTAAACAAACGATTAAATCTCAATGAATTAACATTAACCATTGCTTTTCCTCTTAAGTGCAACACATGGCTGCTTCAAAACATAGGCAATTTTCTATTTATTTACTAAAATCGTTAACAAAATATCTGAAAATTCCATTACAGTAGGAGTTATGTTTGATTTTAAGTTTGTAAAATCTCAATAACTATAAATTTATAATATGTTTATCAATTTCTATAGGGCGATAGGAATATTTATTCACACAAGAAAATTCATATTACATGAGGGCATCGCCCGAGGGAAATATGTCTTTTCTAGGGAGAACAAGTAGTTTTATTTCACTGCCTACACCTTTTTGTTTCCCCATAGAAATGAAATATTCATTCACATACAATTTTTTTAAATCCGCTTGCATTAATAACTTCCATGACATAAACAACAAAAATTTCAAAAAACTTGAACCACACACTTTATCGGAAAACTTTCATTGGATATATAGCAGTTTGACAAACACTTATTTTGATCATTGAGAAGCTTAATATTTCCTTAACAATAGAACTTAAATTATTAAAACGTTCAGCTGATTTTTACAGTGTTATCTCCCTGTAGTGTTATGTACCCCCTTAAAGACGATTTTGACAATTCTACTATCGCTGTGTGAAACGTGGATTAAATTTATGAGAAACGTCATATCATAAAATAATTTCTGATCAAAGCTTTTGCAAAAGCAATAAAATATAGAATAAGAATTGTCAACGAATATATGTCTATCTGAAGACCGTTATGGTCAGGAAGTCTAAATAAATAATTATTTGGCTATATTGAACATATTTGGTCTAACAATTCTTCATGTAAAACAGTGTGAATGCTTGCATAGTGTACTTGTCTATTCATTGAATCTACCTCGTATTTATAAGCATAAAACATAGCTTGATCAAAAATTAATTTTGTGAATACAGTATTATAGTTTACAGTACTATGTTTGTGCCAAAAAAAACTCTAACTGTAAATTTTCATTGTTATTTTCTATTGAAAATTGCAAAAATCTGCAATATATATTCAGGATACTACATGTATTTACAAATGTGTTCTACAAGTTTAGATAAACATACTAGTATTGCAATATATAGGAAGCTTTCCGATCAAAGATAAAAGCTGTTTTATTCCTGTGTTATAATTAAACTTAAGATTAACCTTGTCTTGAAACCGTGGTTTGTTCGTACAAAATCTAATAAAATCTATTGGAAGTCATCAACATTAATTAATTTGAAACTTCTAATAACCGAGCAAATATTTGAATTCTCACCTCTTGAATATAAACAAACTCTGTAGATTAAATCTACAAAACTCAATAAGTTCATATTCTGTAAGTATTTGTACAGCTGAATCATTTTTAAAGACTACATATGATATACATATAATGTATCAAATAAAACAAAATCATTCATATTTGTTTTCTTGTAAATTGTATTGTTATAAATTAGGTCGCTAGTTTTCTCGTTTGAATTGTTTCACATTTTTCATGTCGCAGCCTTTTCTAGCTGATTATACGGTATGGGTTTTTCTCATTGTTTAAGGTTGTACAATGACCTATAATTGCTTATATCCACGCCCAGACTTGCCGCTGGTATGGCACTTTTTTTAGGAGGCTGTTCTAGAAATATTAGGTCTGTAGCGTTCCTGATGGAGGTTATTTTATAAATATTTGGTCCGAAGCGATCCTGATGAGGTTATTTAAGGCATATTTAGTCTGGTGCGTTCCTAATGGAGGTTATATCAGGAACATGTGGTCTAGAGATTTCCTGATGGAAGTCATATCAGGGACATTTGGTCTGGAGCGTTCCTGATGGAAGTTACACCAGGAGCTCTTAGTATATGGAGCGTTCCTGATGGAGGTTATTTCGGGAACATTTAGTCTGGAGTGTTCCCGATGGAAGTTAGTTCAGGAACATTTGGTCTGGAGCATTCCTGATGGAGGTTTTGTCAGGAACATTTGGTCTGGAGCGTTCATGATGAAGGTTATTTCAGGAACATTTGGTCTGTAACGTTCCTGATAGAGGTGATTTCAGGAACATTTTGTCTGCAGCGTACCTGGTGGAGGTTATGTCAGGAACATTTAGTCTGGAGCCTTTCTGATGGAGATTATTTAAAGAACATTAAGTATATGGTGCATTCTTGATGGAGGTTATTTCAGAAATATTTGGTCTGGAGTGTCCTTGATTGAGGTTATATCAGGAATATATGGTCTGGGGCGTTCCTGATGGAGGTTATTCCAGAAATATTTGGTCTGGAGCGTTCCTGATGAAGACACAATCTTTCAATCAGTTTAATTGAGGTCTGGAGCTGGCATGTCAGTAACTGCTAGTAGTCCTTTGTTTATTATTATGTATCATTGTCATTTTGCTTAGTTTCTTTTGTTACCTATTCTGACATCGGACTCGGACTTCTTTTAAACTGAGTTTTACTGTGTGTATTGCTATGTGTTTCTTTGTTCTACATTGGCTAGAGGTATAGGGGGAGGGTTGAGATCTCACAAAACATGTTTAACCCCGCCGCATTTTTGCGCCTGTCCCAAGTCAGGAGCCTCTGGCCTTTGTTAGTCTTGTATGTTTTTTAATTTTAGTTCATTAATATGTTTTGGAGTTTAGTGTGACGTCCATTATCACTGAACTAGTACACAATTTTATTTAGGGGCCAGCTGAGGACCACCTCCGGGTGCGGGATTTTCTCGCTGCGTCGAAAACCCATTGGTGGCCTTCGGCTGTTGTCTGCTCTTTGGTCGGGTTGTTGTCTCTTTGACATATTCCCTATTTCCATTCTCAATTTTATATCAGGAACATTTGGTGTATGGAGCGTTCCTGATGGAGGTTACATAATGCACATTTAATTTGGTGCGTTCCTGATAGAGGTTATATGAGGAACATTTGGTCTGGAGTGTTCCTGATGGAAGTTATATTAGGAACATTTGGTCTGGAGCGTTCCTGATGGAGGTTATTTCGGGAACATTTGGTCTGGAACATTCCTGATTGAGGTTATTTAAGGCACATTTAGTATATGGTGCGTACTTGATGTAGGTTATTTCAGAAATATTTAGTCTGGAGTGTTCTTGATGGAGATTATTTCAGAAATATTTTGTCTGGAGCGTTCCTGATGCAGGGTGTTTCAGAAACATGGACCGTACGCGCTAAAATGTATACCAGATAAAACATTTATGCTCCTTAAAAAAATATTATATAAAAAAAAAACATATTTTTTTGGGAAAAAAGAAACTTTATCTTGCCCTGAACTTGAGGTATTTTTTTTTACGGAGAAGGTGGAATCGGAATACAAAGGGGAAGGGAAATTGTCAGAGTCTGTCTCAAATGTGGATGACGAAATCAATTCTCGACTCATGTTTTTTTTATTGCATGTATCTTGGTATCTCCCCCGTTTTGCACAATTGTGCTTCATTTAAATTGTCCGTTTAAGTGTCATTTGACTTTTTGAGACTTATCGCTGTCATTTATCTATTTCTCAATGGAATTTTTACTGCTGTCAACTTATTATAGAGGTCACAAAATAATAATAACCACACTAGGTAAGTAACCCAACTAAAGGTAAGAATGTCAACCTGTTACAGGTCATTATGTTAACATCATATCACCTTAGAATTAACTAAAAATACATTTAATTACAAAGCGAATGAAAATCACAACAAAAGGTATCCGAATCTTTTACAGTTATCTTCGTCAAATCATTCCGTACCACGTAATAACAAAATCTATTGTAAATCCCTGCGGTGCTAAGGTTGAAGGAATATCTTAATTGGAAAGCTATATGGTAATAATTTATTCTATTTGCCGTAGCCACAATACCATTCTCCTTTCACAAGTTACCGAGAATTTACTAACTTTCTACTATGGCAATCGAACACGAAGAGAAAAACTAGAAAACTGTAATTTTCTTGAAATTGTCTACGTGTTTTATGTCCACAATTAAGTACAAAAAAAAAAAACCATGCACGCCAATTTTATTTATTTGACCACTCATCATACAATTTTATACCAAATATCAACACACCTGTCCCAAGTTAGGAGCCTCTGGCTATTGTTAGTCTTGTATGTTTTTTAATTTTAGTTCATTTATATGTTTTGGAGTTTAGTGTGACGTCCATTTTCATTGAACTAGCACACATTTTTGTTTAGGGGCCAGCTGAAGCCCGCCTCCGGGTGCGGGATTTTCTAGCTGTGTTGAAGACTTAATGGTGGCCTTCGGCTGTTTTCTGCTCTTTTGGACGGGTTGTTGTCTCTTTGACACATTACCCATTTCCATTCTCAATTTTACAATATTCGATTTAGTCATGGAAACTAACATAACTCAATGAACTATTGCACAAAGACAGTGTAACATGCGAGGATATATGTCTAATTACCTATTTCTTCTTTCTTTGATTTAAAGCTCTACTAAGAAATTATAGGAATCGTTATTGAGCATGTACATTAAGTATGTCAAACTCCAGTAAAAACCAGATAGTGTGACGATTAGTTATGATAATATTAGCAGGTGCAACATATGAAAGCCAAAAAATTGTCAGATGTAAAAACATGCCATTGTATTTTGATGCATCATTTTTGACAACATAATAAATATATATATATATATATATATATATATACGTATATATATAAATGCAACGTAGACAGTCTAGATAAAATCTGATCCTCATTCCAGAGAGGCTGAAGGGTATAGAAACACACATACATATATTGTTTTGTGAACGGATAGAAATATTTAGATTTCAGTTCATTTTTTAGACTTATTTTATTTAAACGGATTATATTTAGTGTAGACACCAAATTATGGAATTTGAAAACAGAAGTCTCTCATTACAGGTTAGTAAAATTGATTGAAAAATGCAAAGCGATACGAAATATTCACATTTCTTTTTCTATCTATGGTCAATCCTAAAGTCTGCATTCAGCACAAAATGAAAAATGGAAAGTAAGATTAAGTCAAACTTGATCATACCACTTCTTTTTATTTTTTATATTGGTTATATCATTACGTTTGGTGCCACATTATACGTAGCAAAAATGTAATGACTTTTGAAATTTGCTTTAAGTTTGAACATGAAATCAAAAACATTTTAAAATGACTGACACCTCAGTTATTTACAAGATAAATCACATCTATCATCCAATTATCTGTATTCTTAATTTATACTATAATTTCATTCAGAAAAATGAAGAAACTGTAAACTCGAGTGATACTTCAGAAGAGAAGAAAGAGGAACGCGAACATTGGTCAGGACAACTCGATTTTTTCCTATCATCAGTTGGGTATGCAGTCGGTATTGGTAATATATGCAGGTTTCCATATCTGTGTTATAAAAACGGAGGAGGTACACGACTTTTAATATTTCTGAAACAATACTCAATTTGATTAAAATTCAAATCTATCGTAACTCGTTTACTCTTTTTATAGCAAAACCATAGATCTTTATTTTAATTAGATCTGGGACTATTATACTAACGTTAGTATAATAGTCCCAGATTAGATAGACCAATATACTGAGACACCAAATTCAAATTTTTATGAAAGATAATCGAAAGACGCTTTTATAGTCTAAGCTATTATAGGATAAAACATATTAGAATAAGAAGATGTGGTATGATTGTCAATGAGAAATCTCTCCACCAGATCCTAAATGACGTAGAAGTTAACAAATATAGGTCACCATACGGCCTTCAACAATGAACAAAATTAGTACATCATTCGGGCATGCTAACTGTTTCCCTATATGGATGTGTGTATGAATGGAAGTTGCAGGAGATAGGTGTCTCGTTATAAAGCTCTAAGTCAAATAATGCTTCAAACATAAAAATGCACAAGGGGGTAAACAAAATAGCTTCAGTTAATGTCAGAACTGAAAGTTACTGCTACAACTGAACAGTAACAAGTTGATATGTTAGGCTTGGATTTTTTTATTAGTTGTTATTGGCTTTGAACTAGCTGTCAGTAACTGCGAGTATTTTCAGATCTGTATTTAGTGTCTTTTTGTTGTGGGGATGTATAAGTACCCTGCCACGTCCACTCTATGTTTTTGTTAGATGTATGCCTCTTTGTATCTATCTGATAAAGCCCTTTTCAATTGATTGTTATAGTTTGTTCTTATGTTGTTCGGTTACACCACTGTCCCAGGAAAGGGGATGGTTGGCGCCTTCAAATTAGTTTTACCCCGCCACATTCTATATGTGCCTGTCCCAAGTCAGCAGCCTGTAATTGAGTGGTTGTCGTGTTTTGCTGTTTCTCATATTTCTTTTTTCGTTTATTGATTTGCATAGTTTGTTCTCATGTTGTGCTGTTACACCAAAGTCTCAGGTTAAGGGGAAGATTTGGCGCCAACAAACTAGTCTAACCCCGCCACATTCTGCATGTGCCTGTCCCAAGTCAGGAGCCTGTAATTCAGTGGTTGTCGTTTGTGGCTGTATATCAAATTTGTTTTTCGTTCATTATTTTGTACATAAATCAGGCCGTTAGTTTTCTCGTTTTAATTGTTTTACATTTGTCATTTCGGGGCCTTTATTGCTGACTATGACGTATGGGTTTTATTCATTGTTGAAGGCCGTATGGTGACCTATAGTTGTTAATTTCTGTGTCATTTTGTCTCTTGTGGAGAGTTGTCTCATTGGCAATCATACCACATCTTCTTATTTTTATAAAAATCATATCTGAAATTGTACCATATCACGCAATCAATACTTTGATGAACATCCATGGAAATGTCAATGTTCAACGAAAACAGTAACATTTAAAATTATCATATGAATTTTTAACATAACGTGAATAAATCGGAGATATAACATTTAAAAATTTTAAACATCTCACTGAACATTATTGATGTCTGTTGCTAGATACAGACCTAATATAAACAATATTCCTACCAGGATGTAACTCAACTTTGATTCATCAAGTTACAATCAAAAACAAAATCCTTGTCTCATGCAGAAATTGAGGAACAGATTTTCACTATCTTTTTTAATCAATGGCAAATTGCTGTGTAAGCAAAATTCCAATGTTATATTGCATTTTCACAGGGGCTTTTCTTATTCCATATCTTATATTTATGGTTATTGGAGCTGTGCCAATATATTACCTAGAGTACGGGATATCTCAATTTTCAAGCAGCAGCATTTTAACAGTTTGGAAGATTTGTCCACTTTTGAAAGGTATGTAAAAATAAGTAACAGGGGCAACAATTTTGCTGATTCTACGATAAACATATAAGATAAAGGTCACGATTTGAGACTACACAGTCAAATTTCCTTAAATAATATATATAGGAACTAGGTTATCGTTCTTACTGGACGGGTTGATTTCGCCGTTTTAGAATCTTAAGGACTATGGATAATTTCATTGTTTGTACCATAAAATAAAAACGTCAAGCCATTGGTTGAATTTCCATTGTTTAGGATGTTGTCAGCTAATCACGTTTTAGTGTACATTTTTGAAAATATTACCCACAATGCATTAGATTCACTTATCGAATGTTTTCCCATTTGAAACTACTTGCCATGTTTACATTTCAATGTCGATGGTTTTCCTTCGAAAACCACCAATGTAAGTTTATCTTTATGTGTTCTGTCTTTTCAGGAGTTGGTTATGGAGCTTTAATAGTTTCGGTAATATTTTGCGTTTACATCAACATATTTCTAACATGGATATTGTATTTTCTGTACCAATCAATGACCCCGATTCTGCCATGGAGCCATTGCAAGAATGAATGGAATACAAAATTCTGTCATAATAACTCTGTAGATAATGGATCAAATCTAATCTTACTACAAAACACGTCAGACGTCAATGGATCTAAGTATAATAGTCATTTATTCCCTCTTAATGAAGTAAAAATGACTGCGAGCGAAGAATTTTGGAAGTAAGTATTTCTTTTGAAGATTCATTCTCTCTCTCTCTCTCTCTCTCTCTCTCTCTCTCTCTCTCGTCTCTCTCTCTCTCTCTCTCTCTCTCTCTCTCTCTCTCTCTCTCTCTCTCTCTCTCTCTCTCTCTCTCTCTCTCTCTCTCTCTCTCTCTCTCTCTCTCTCTCTCTCTCTCTCTCTCTTAAATGACTGTGACTAATTCTGAAACAGTATTCTCCTTTCTCTGCTAATTTTTTTTCAAACATAAAACACCGTCTATGACGACGCCTATCATTGTAAATGAAGGTTATTTTGAAGGAATTAATTGATGTTAATTGATTGAAATTATAAGTAATAAATGTTATTTTTACAGACTTCATTGCTGTAAAAACTCGGCCTTCCACTATCAAATCGACCGACTCATTCAAACAAACTGTATATAGACCAAATGGTTTATGTGAAGTTTGTGAATTAAAGGCCAAGTTTACACAACAATAAACTCTGTAGAATAACATTTATTACTTATAATTTCAATAAAAAGCACTATACCAAACATTTCACAAACCCTTATAGATATTTCGCCAATGTAGGAACTATTCATGTCGTCATGAAACGGGTTTATGACGTTGCTGAAATCTACTATGAAAAACAGCAACCGATATTACAAAAATAAAAGCGAAGGACGGCATGATTTCTAAGCAGCAGTTTAAGGTTCATGTGGACCCTTTGGCTAAAATGGCTGCATTTTCACCTCAAAATTTACTCTGAGTACAGAAAAACCTGCGCATTTGGAAAAGTTTTAAGGCATAGCATGCCCTAGATAAATAAACTTCTAATGCATTGTATGTTTTAGAAAATTTAAAACTTAACTGGATTTAGCAGTGCACTTTTTTTCGTCCCTGCAGAAGATGATAAAATTAACAAACAGTTGAGTTTCACTTGATACGGTCCACTCAGGTACACAGTTTAAATTACCAGTTATTGTCAGGTATCTATTGTCCATCTATTGTCCATGTCAATCAAAACAGTTCACTTCAATTATTACCTGTGGGGAAGTTCTCAAACCTCTTTCCCAACTTAGTTTATTTTGGCACCTTCTGGAGGAATGAAAAAAAGTGCACTGCAAAATCCGGTTAAGTTTTTGATTTTCTAAAACATAAAATATATTTGAATTTTATTTATCTAGGGCATGCTATGCCTTAAAACTTTTCCAGATGCACAGGTTTGTCTGTACTCGGAGTAAATTTTGAGGTGAAAATGCAGCCATTTTAGACGAAGGGTCCACATGAACCTTAAATTCTTTGAGCCTGATGTCAGTTATTACGAGTATTTCAGTTTTTTTTTTTTAATGTTTTCATTTCTTTATATCAGTTGCTGTGTCGTCGATGTATACATCACAAATCCTTCCATTCATATTGATCTATATATAACTTGTTTGTTGCCATAAGGCTCACCGATCAATAAAATAAAATTGATTGATTGATTGGTGTTTTTTCGAGGAGGTCTCTTTTTATTGGTGAAGGAAGCCGTAGTCCCCGGAGAGAACCACCGACTTTCTGTAGGAAAACTGACAATCGTAGTCAATTAAGATTGGAGTCGAATGCACCTGCCACGTGCGGGATTCGAACTCACAAACTCGGTGTCGACAGGCTAGTGAGACAATAAAATAAGACTAAACATACAACTTTGGAATTATAAATCTAAATAGTGAGATTTTGTTCATTCAACCCCTTGTTATTATCTTACTGAAATGAGATATTTATTTGCGTACTTATGTACTTACCTTCGCAATATTCACGGGAAAATCTCGGGATATTAATAAAGTTTCCATTGTTCCAATGAACTCCTTCGGTGCATCATCGTTATTTAGAAAGTATAAAATGATCTTCTATGTAATTAACAGATTTTTTTTAAAGCCGACATTTACATGTGTGAATTGTCAATTATTATAAATCAAACACCCTTTAATTCCGTATCAGTAATAGAAGTTATTATGTTTGTTTAATGAATAAATCACATATTGACTTTTTAAAGAAACGAGAAAAATCAACAGTATCATTTCAATTTTACATGTATGTCAGTGTTCAACAACAAAGTTTTTGTTTTATCCATATTTGAGTTCTAATGTAGTATAAAATTTAAACAAAATATACATTTCTAGTCAGAGAATATGCAATGGAGAAAAATGTATTGCGCGGGTTATTTATCGATCAGTTGGTTAACCTTTATTATGTTGAGTTAATTAATCAATTATGTGTGCTTACTGTCTACTATACGTATATTTGTGTCCATACTGCAATAAGACAATGCGTGAATAAAGGCCATTTTATTTGGTCGATATGGACGGTGTCTACATCGGGATTTACTTTCATTGAACTATGAAGATAAAGTCTAAATTACTGCGAAATTTCAAATCGCTTGTTATATCGACTAACTTGACAACGTCAAAAACAACAATCCGTCAGAAATTTCAAGGTTCCAAATTCACAGATCATTTTCGGGAAATCACAAAGTACCAGTTGCAAATACATGTACACGTTAACATTTAAGTAAAAAATATCAGCAGTACTACCCTTTCAACAGTGAATTCGTTAAAAAAAAATTATTAAGAACTAGTAATTTGGTTCTCGTTATATAAGGAATTGCTATAATTCATTTAAATACATATTCTAAGATGAGGGATAGCGACCGAAGTAAATTTCTCGACATTATACCAAAGTTTTTTTTTATTTATCTGCACAAGCACAATTAAAAAAACAAAAACTTTTTACTTTTAAATTGGCAATCACTTTTAGAAAAAAGTACTTAAACCTACATACTAGTTTTTCAAAAAGAATTATTGATTGATTTATATTTGGTGTTTAATGCCACTTTCAGCACTAGTGGCTATTTCGTAGCGGCCAGTTTGTATTGGTGGTTGAAGACGTACTGCCCGGGAGAGCCACCGATTTTCGGCAGGAAAATTGGCAATCCTAGTCAATTAAGATTGTAGTCAAATACACCTTCCACGTGCGGGGCTCGAACTCACAACCTCAGTGTTGACAGGCTAGTGATACAGTAGATGAACTACTTTAGACCACTCGGCCACCGAAGTCTCTTTTAAAAAAAGAAAATAACTTTCGATCAAAATTTGATACTGATGCAAATGTTGTATCGTCATAATACATAAAACATTTGCCACCGGAAAAGTGCAAAGTTATTAACTGTACTACTAGTTGTTTCAGAGTGGAACATCAAAGTCAGTTCCTCACAAACTAAACCTAATACCAAGTTAATGTTACCTTTTGTTGTTTATAAGTTGATGAAATCCATACCGCGCTCCAATTTGACAATCTTCATGATCGCCTTTTCAAGTCTGCTGTTTACATGCACTAGTAATTGTTGTCGTGCCTTTTTATGAAAGAACACGATTAATAAAGATTCTGCTAAAAGTGCATCAAGAAGAATCAAAACAAAATAGCAGTAAAAATAATTGGAACATTAAAACAGTGTACGACAGACATATTTTGTTTTCCATGGCAAACAATGTGAAAAAAGAACGCCAAGAAAAATATAGAAATGCTAACTATGTTGGTGTTGTTTCTAGCATTCACTGTGGAAATGGTAACTTAATCAAACACATAGTCAATGCAAGACCCAATACTATCCATACTTCTACTTATTATACTGACTGTCAATTCTTCACCAATAATAAATCTGATTAAAATTAGCAAAGTGAAAGATTATATTTTAATCAGATTAACTTTTAACCAAACCAATATGAATATAATCTCTAAATATCCTTTTTTGAACCATAACATGACACGGAAGAAAAAAATCTTTAATTCTTAAAGACTAACATCTATGTCTTTCGGTCTCTGGTGAATATGTGTCTCATTGGCATGCATACCACATGTACTTTTATTATATCATACGATATTTCATTCTAGGTAGACGAAGGTTACACTATTTTTACTTCATATTGTATTGTAATTATTCCTTTCATACATCACTTTGAGGATTCAGACAACAATTTTTGCTGAGATCCGCCTACTCGCGTGAACATACTGTTGATTGACGGTTTTATCAAGCAATTGAACGCTTTTTCCAAATTAAGTTATTTTTATTTTTAATAATTTCGGGATTTTCAGAATGTATAATAATTCTTTATGTTTAAAAGTAAAATACTAAATACGATTACAAAGCTGAAAATTCAGTATCGATTAATTTTTCAATACGTATTTAAAAAAAAATATAACTGGGATCTTTCGTAAAATAAGTCAACGTTACGTTAGAACTTATATTTGATGAGAACTGAGAGCCAGAAATAAATAAATGATATTTGCAGATACAATGTACTGCAAATAACAGTAGGCATAGAGGATATAGGAGGAATAAGACTGGAACTTCTTGTATGTCTGGTTATAGCTTGGCTTATCATCTTTCTTTGTTTATGTAAAGGAATAAAGTCATCGGGAAAGGTATTTTGTAACTGTCTGTCCGCCTGGAGGTAATGGATTATATTGATGTTGACATACCAAAATTCTAAAGTTTTTATGCTTTTTCAAATGAAATAGATAATCGAAATTAAGCATATTTTTTAAATTTGGAATGAATCCGTAACCTCCAAATGGACTCGCAGATTGTGCACTAAGTTTGGATATATACAAATGGTGATATGAGGGCAATCGTCAACGACACAGCGACCCAAACATTTCGGCATACTGAAAATGAATATCTTTGGGTTCATTATACGGCCTGTAATGATTGTTAGAGCCACAATTATACGTCATCCTGTAAAGACCAAATGACAAATATGTCACGGTTGTAGGGGACACACACGACGGATTTTGTGTTAAATGAAACAACCGACTAATCACGTGATATGGAACCCGTACACTGAACAAAACAAAACATTTCACAATTTTAAACAGGACATTTCACAATATTGACCTCGAAAACAAATTGGGTGCATGTATATTTATAATGTGGGGATCTGGTGATCTAGTAATTCAAACAAAAAAAAACAAAAAAACAAAAAAACACCCACATTTTAGAATTATCATAGTTGCATAAATCTATTTCTATATTGGTGTCGAAAACAAATTAAATATATCTATAAGATATAGCTATCTGGTTATTCGCATTTTACATTATAAATTTGAGAAAGCGACATTTCACAATTAGCATAGTTGCATAAATCAGTTTTTTTAAATTGACGTCGAAAACAAATAGAATACAAGCATATTTTTAATGTGATTGTGGCTAACTGGTTATTCGCATATAACATAACGACAGTTCACAATTATCATAGTTCCGTAAATCAATGTTTAAATTGACGTCGAAAACAAACAAGGTGCACGCATATTTATAATGTATTGCTACCTGCCGGTCTGCTTATACGCATATGATTAGTCAAAATAAAAATAATTACGTATAATGTTTTTGAATAATTTTACAAAAAGTCTTTAAATATATGCCTACCGTCAAAGACTAGGCAGTTTTTCTGGTCAAGTCAAACAATGCATTCGATTAAAGTAATATACATCGGAAGCGTTTATTTCTTGAACGTATGTGAATAATTCGAGTACAAACCTTTTACATTAATAAAAATAGTACTGTAAAAAATAATTTAAAAAAAAGAACATTTTGATGTTTATTTTACATAGATAGTGTATGTGACTGTTACTTTCCCGTACATAGTGTTGGTAATCTTTCTAGTAAGAGCAGTTACATTACCAGGAGCTGCAGAAGGTATACAGTTCTTTCTAATTCCAAAATGGCACAAAATGCTTTCTACAAAGGTAAGTTTCATTACACTTGTGAAGATAAGAATACTTGATAGTCCGACGTATTTAATTAGGCGAGAAATATTTTATGGAAACTTTTTAACATGGTAATGATGGTTTAATACACGTTGAAAAGAGAACAATTTGCACTTATCTGTCTGTGAAAAAAATATGCTATTACAATGACTGTAAAAGGAAGTTTCCAATGGAAAATTACCCTCTTTAGACTTTGTTTCGAGAGTTGGGCCAATATGTATTTAAGATGTATTCTAAGAGCTTAATGCACTCGTGACCAATAAGTACATTTTGATTGCATTAGTGAATGAATAAGAAAATGTGGAAATGGATAGCGAATCGATTGATTGATTGATTGGTTGTTGTTTGCATTAGTGGCAATATATCATGCATTTTCAGGATAGATAAGAATCCAATAATTTTCTTACATTTTTATTTTCTATGCCGAAACATCAACAATCATGAACCTTGTGTTTTTATTGATAAATGTTCGCTGGATATTGTATTTCGTGTGCACTGTATATATATATATATAAACAAATATAACAAACATGCCGTCTGTGTTCTTATTATTTCGAAAATAGAAAATCCCAAATGACAACAAAAAACTAACCGTTGCCATATAATTCTAATTTGAAGAGCAACAGTTAAAGCTAGTTTTCCTGATTTATTTCAAACTCGTTGAAGTTCATATTCCCTAATTGTTATTATTTCACAGTATTGTGAGTTTGTAGATTTCTCCTTTTGAAATTTTGAAAGATACGAGGGTTGAATTAAAGGTAAATCTGATTTTCGTTTCTTGCTACAATGTATATGCATAATGTAGTTTTGATTGTTTCAAACAGGTTTGGGGTGCGGCAGCAACGCAGATATTTTTTTCGTCTGGAGCCGGATGGGGAGCACTGCTGACATTTGCAAGCTTTAACAAATTTCACCATAAACTTCAAAGGTATGTTGTGTAATAAAGATTTAGTATGATTAAATATTTCCGTCAAAAGACAAAAATAAAACTTACCCTGCTAGGTAGGAATGCTGCAAAGTTAAATGGTACTATTTCTGAGCGAATTTTGTATCCGGCAAACATATTTACCATCGAAATCAGTAATTCAAAACAGTAAAAATCGAACTTGACTTGCATTTACATGTTCAAACGCTAAAATACATACTCTAAAACAAATACAACGTTTCATACGGGTTTTCGTTTTCATTTTTTGAGACAATTCAAAAGATATTAGTAATACACTAGAACGGTAATTGCAGCAAAAGTTAAAATCGTACCAGACCTTCATTTGCAAATTAAGTAATCGTCCGGAAATTTTTTTATATTTCGAATTTTGGAAATTATCTTGACGAAAAATGGCAACAACAGGGCCATTGTCACTTGACCTGCATTAATGGAAGAAATACTGTTACAAAGATACACAGTCTTACTCTAAAACAGACTTATGATATCATCCGGAAATCATTTAATTCAGACAGTGAGATTAACAGTCATACAAAAAGGCTTTTATAATTCTGTTCCTCGATGTCGTTTCAGGGATGCTATCATGGTGCCCATAATAAACAGTGGAACGAGTATTTTTGCCGGATTTGTAACATTTTCAATACTTGGATTTATGGCACACGAAAAAGGAATGTCAGTAGATGACGTAGTAACACAAGGTATTTACAAACTTGTTGGTGTTCAAGAAGAAATATGAAACACGTGAATGATGGCTTCTGTTTACCTTTCAAGATAAATATTTACAGTGTATACTTTAAACTGGAAAGAGCTAAAACCACGGGATGATTTTTGCGTTCCAGTAAAAAAACTGGGTAGTAATGACAAAGAAGTTGTAACCTGTAATGCCAATTTTGTAGGATTAAGTGCTTTTTCTCGCTTAGTTTTTATTGAACTTTTTTAATTACACCTTTTGTATTCCTGTTAGGGGTTAATAGAATAGACTGATAGAATGAAAACAAATGAATGTGTATACCCTAGTAGCGTACCTGATGATGGTTATCTAAAAACAATTTTTGTGCGAATGAAAATCATATTTTTACCCCTCACTTGTAAAGACTTTTTTTATTTTTAGGTCCAGGTCTTGCATTTGTAGCATATCCAGAGGCAGTGTCAAAGTTACCAATATCGCCATTGTGGGCAGTTTTATTTTTCATGATGCTGATGACAATAACCATTGACACTCAGGTTAGTAGAATGTATCTATAAGTAAGTCAACATATATCTTATAAGTAGGTCAACAGAGAGATAGAATGTTAATTCAAAAAATGGTTGAAGGTAAGCTGATTAAAAATATTTTCATATTTGACACAATTTTTATATTCGTAACTGGGAAAGCTATTGTAATCCACCATTTTTTTTCATTTAAGGAAATGCCTGTGCCAAGTCAGGAATATTTCCTTTCGTTTGATGTGTTTGAGTTTTTGATTTTGCCATTTGATAAGGGACTTTCCGTTTTGAATTTTCCTTGGAGTTCGGTATTTTTATTATTTTACTTTTTTGTATGGTTTTTGCTTGCAAGTTTTTATTGTATACACAAATGAATGAGCAATCCTAGACCAGATTTTGTATATCTGATTTTCTATCAAGATAAAAAGAACAATCGAGCTAAAAATGGTCAAAATCAACCGTTTTCTCCTTTCTGCCAGATGTGAAAACTCTTATAGGGGATTTTCAATCTCTCGTAAATAAATCTTGACAACATTTACAATACAATGTGTATTTAAATGTCGGCAATAAGGTTTATCGACAGGTTGTAGGTATTCCTATGAACACCAATTGCGCCCCTTTAATATTAGACTTTTTCTTGTATTATAATGAGACCAGGTTATGGCTAAATACATTCAATATCCGTCTAAACTACGTTTAATTGACAAATGTAACAACACTTACCGTTACCTTGATGATATTTTTACGTTAGATAGTCAATACTGCTTAAATTTTCTGACTTTAGAAAGTCTTATATAATTTTCCCCATTTTCGTTGTAAAGCTTGAGCGGGGGCATTGGTGTCCTCAGACACATTCTTCCTTAATAGTTTTCCTTTTTTGACGGTGATGTTTCTATCAAAGTTTGGATGTACATGGGATATCACCTCTTTTTTTTAAATATTTACTAGAATAGCGGAAAACAATAAAACAAAATTTTATGCATAGTTAAGATAGCAACACGCAATACCGATATGTCAGCTTGGCAAATAAGAACTCCTATGAAACTTATTATTGTGAAATCAGATTGAACTGGCTAAGAGTATCTTGCTCAACAAGTAGCGCTTGTCGTTTTGGCAGGTTTGATATATTCGATAATACAATTGATTAATAAGAAGAGAGACATGTCAGAAACACGTCTTTAGTCATCTTAGAACCTGAAATGTGAAATTGATGGTACTGATCTACTCTTAGTGTACATGTACACGAGGCTAAATAATTTGTGAAAGCTATTTTTACTTCACTTGATTCTGGAAAAATGGTAAGATTATTCTAAATCATAAATATTTCGTCTTTAACACGGCAGTCTGCTTACAACCTCTTTATCCAAAATAAAAATGCAAGAAATAAATAGTAGAAATGTGAATATTTTCCTATACAAATAAATATAGTTTTGTATCATTCTAGTTTGGTACATTTGAAACCATTACCAGTGCAATTATTGATGAATATCCACATATTTTGAGAAAGAAGAAGTATCTGGTGACAGTTTGTTTCTGTTGTATTGGATTCATTTTAGATTTACCATTCATAATGGAGGTAAATGTAACACACAAGACCTCAAACACACACATATCTGATATGAAAACCAGGCCTCGAGCATACTTTAAAAGCCAAATATACAGTTGATATATAGTAATAAACGATTAAAATATTGGCATTTTCTGAAGGTTCAAAGCTACAATGTATCAGGCATTTTATTAGCATTATAATATTCAATGTGAATTTCACAAACACACATTAATCATTGGCTTCATTAGTTTAATACAAATATTGAGAACAGGAAACGATATGCCTGTGTTTGACCTTAAACTTAATTCGACTTTTTAGGGAGGAATATATGTTTTACAAATCGTTGACTGGTACTGTGGACTATTTACACCAATGATAGTGGCAACTTTAGAGTGTTTAGTAGTTGGATGGATATATGGTATGATATGATATAATTAGATTACTCTTATTTCTATGCTATCATGCATTTTAATTTAATACAGTAAAATAAGAAGTATCAAAATTCCTTTTAGAAGGGTGAACAAATTCTGACATGATTTAAAAAAATATGATTACAATAAACGAAAAACACAATAATATTGGAACAGAACGTTTGAAAAAAGCTTCATCAAACTGATTATTAGAAACGATTCTATTGATAATCTCCAGGAAACCATGTTATACAGGTGCACGTAAAATGTGAAGAAAAACTGTTCGATAGAAAGTCGAAGTGGAGATTTTAAGTCTTATACATGAGATAGTATATTGTTCCTTGAGATTTTCAGACTTTCTTTCTCAAAAAATCATCGAAGGTTTTATACGTGGGTGCATCATTCAGTTTTAATTTAGGCACAGACAGATTTTACAAAGATGTTCAGATGATGATAGGATATCAACCGTGTTGGTGGTGGAAATTTTGTTGGAAATATGTGACACCTTGTTTTTTGGTGGTGAGTGCCATAATTGTTACCCCTGATGTTACTGAAGTATGAAAATGTATCAAACCCTTTAAACTAACCATAATTATGTACAGATAAAGAATTTAAAATATAACAAATTGTAATTTAAGTGATGTCACTGTGACGTCATAAAAATGACAAAATTGACAATAGTAACCACTTAATTTTTGGTAAATTAATTATGAATTACACCCTTAATCTTAACATTATTTATTCATATCAGTATATTTGTAGCAAAATATTTCTTTTGGGCAAGGCTTGCTCATATATGTAAATAGTATCTCCAGTGCTCTTTGGCGATATTCGGTTTTTCGAAAGAAGTTTTACTTAGAATTGAGACCGAATTCAGAATTATAAACACTGATATTGGATAGACCAATGTAAGGGTTAAGCCAATATAACTCAGAGTGGAAAATGAAACTGACTGATTGCAAACATTGTGAGAGGTAAACATTTAATTCCTACGACTAGACCCAGGAACAAGTAAAATTAAAAAAGAAAAGAAATATAAACATGAAGATAGTACTAAAAAAATACCAGTGCCTTTTTTCTAGATATGGACATGTACATCTCTGTCGTTGAGAACAGTCGACTTTGAACAACACTTACATCGTTAGTAAATGCTATTATGATATATTTGGAAAATTTGTATGCTAAATCCCTCAATAAAGCGAATATATAATTCATAGTTCAAAATGAATAATAGTTACTGTATTTCAGATATTATCGACTTTTTCTTAAAGAGATATACCCATGTAGAGTGTAAAATGAATTAACTCTGAAGTTTATATTCAGTGCGAAAATATTACGTGATACAGTGTTTGATCATTTTACATTTCAGATGATGCTTATGTTTAACATGCTGCAATTGAAACCAGTTTCTTTTGACAAATACCAGTATCCATTATGGGCTATTGGATTCGGCTGGATCATTGGTATGATGTCTGTTGTGCCAATTCCCTTATACATAATTAAAACACTGTGGTGCGCTAATGGTACAATTTTGCAGGTAATACCAAAATAAAATGTACAAAATTAAAAACAACAGTTAGTAAAAGAACACGCGTATTTCGATGATATTTTATAGGGAATTTTTTGTTTAAATTGACTCATCTCAAAAAATTATTTGCAATTAATGATTTTACGAGCTGTTGGTTAATTTTTTACATATATCCACTGAAACAACTCTGAATATTTTACCAAATGTTCATCTGAGAAGTAAAGAAATAGGTAATCATCACATGGAGGCCATGTTTATTACATTTTGTGGCATGTTTACATGTAATACTAATGTAAAGTTTCTGAAGATTATCATCCCCACCCTAGTAAGTTGTCCTTGATTTCGCCTATGAGTTGAAGTTAAATCTGCCTGCTTGAAAATGAAATTTGTCAGTGTTCCCAGGAGATCGATTTTCAGGGTATTAAAAAATCATAAGATGGTCTAAATAATTATATGTTTAAGGTAATTACAGCGTATGTTAATGATTCATTGTATAGCAAAGTTCTGATCGTCTATGGTTCCTTTCCCCAAAAGCTGGTATGCTTGGTCTGTGATTTTCGGGTTGATAAAAAGTCCGCTCTTGCAAGTGCGAGGCATTATATAATCCATAAACCATGATCATAGCACGAAAATGTCTATATCTTTTACATATCTCAGTAAAATTATCTTTTGATGTATCAGCAGATCTTCATATTGTGTGCAAACAGTTTATCAAGTGTAGTGGATATTTTTTTCGACGTTTATGAACAGTTAGGGTGACATCTCTGCACAATTTTTTTCATTGGTTTGCAAGAAGCCTGTGACCATTATCTATTTGTTATATTACTGAAAAAAAACCTGAGGTATTTATATTAAATTTAAATTGGTGTTCAAACTAGTTGTGACATCTCACTTTAGTTAGCATGTACTAATTATGGATAGTATAATCCTTGTCTTTATTTTCGGGTGCAAAAAGTTCGAATTGATATTTATGTAAATATGTATGAGTATGTAATTTTTATTTTTTCCGATTCGTGATATGATGTTCAGTTAAAAGTCTGACATGTGACGTACTATGCCAAGGTGAATATCATTGTATTGTGCTCAATATGCATTTATTGTTATAAACCACCAATACCTTTTATATTGCAGAAATTGACAAATTCACTGAAACCGGAGACGGACTGGGGGCCCATTTTAGAGAAATCAAGAGAGACAACAACGATTTAGCTTAAAAAACGAAAGACAAGCCAATAAAGGAAACACAACATCAAATGTATTTTCATTTTCGCACAAATTACGAATGTAACATATAAAGCATTATGACTGGTGCCACATGTGGAGCAGGATCGGCTTTTCTACCGGAACACCTTATATAAACCCTAATTTATGGTTGAGTTCGTATTACTCACTTTTTAGTTTTTTATGTAGTGTTTTCTAGACTGTTGTATGTCATTCCGTTGTATTTTTTGCCCTAATGTTGTCGGTTTTTCGGCGACATATGAAGTTTGATTGTCCTTTTGGTAACTTCTGTCTCATTGTGAAATACTTATGACGAGTACGTTTATAGTAGATGTTTAACCTATCGAAACACCTAGTCTTAATCTGTTTAGGCATGAATTAATAGACAATAATAGTGCATTGACTTGACATATCAACGATATAAGGATGAGGCTTAGAAACGGGGAAATGCGAGGCTCTGCCGAGCTTTTTCCCCGTTTCTGGCCAAATCCTTATATCGTTGATATGTCAAGTCAATGCACTATTATTGTCTTTATACTGCAATCTAAAAAAAACATTTTCAATTGTTGTTTAATGTGTTGATGTTATTATTTGATTTAGATATTGGGAAACTTCCCCCTTTTATAAACAGGCCCCATATCATGCAGGCGGAGAAATATACAACACAATGAAATGTACATTACCTGTTGAAACCCGCAATCGATGGTGAACGAATTTGTTTGAGAATGAACTAAAATATCAACAATAAGCATAAAACATAATGATTTATAGTTTGCAAACCAAAAGTATTAACAAGTGAAATATGTTTTTTTTTCTAAAAATTGCAATAGAAATAAGTTTGAGTAGTTGAAGACATTGGAAACAAGAACAAGTTGAATAGGTCTTATGAATAATTAATTATAATTTCGGCAATTTCTATTTAAATATTCATGAGGAAAAGTGATATCTGGTCAGTGACTGTATATAACATAGAAATATACGGTCAACGCATTTTGACTGCTCAAATAGAACTAGTGCAGTATAAGATTTGATATTCGATCATGACATACTATCTTCTCCCGTAGACAAGGTTCCTACAACTAGTCACTACAAGCACTTATTATTGATGAAGTTTAACGCAAATCAAATATCAGCCTTCAAACAATTTCCCTTAATAGTGCATTCTCGGTTTTGTCCTTTCACAATACAGAAGTCGAAAGTCTTAACTATTTCATCATGTTGCAGTTTGAATTTATCTCTTCAAACTGATCAAAAATATTTAGGTAAAATATTGAAGCTCATTCGTACCAAAAATAATTGGGAAACATTAATTTGAATTTATACTACTGAAGTACTGATATGCAATGGGAATATGTTTACATCAAAATTACTTTATGGTACGCACAACTACGATTATGTCTCTACAATCACATGTTTTGGTTTTAGTAGATATTTTCATTGTTCCTTTCAGAAGTCATATCATTAGTTTAATAACAATGAAAACAATGTTTAGAACAAATTAATGATAAATGGTCAATATGATCCAAGTCATACTTTTTTTATAACAAGGTGCTCGAAATTACATCTACCTTTTGTCAAAGACAAAGGGCAATAACTGTAGTTAAGTGTTAAGATTTGTTTTATTACACTACACTTGCTTCATTCTTACAGTATTGCCATAGCAATATGCTTAACATTTTCCCTAATTAATCAGTTTGAAGAGATGAATTTAAACTGAAACTTAAAAAACATTTTGGCTACCTGTTGTTGGTATTGTGAAAGGAAAAAGCCTTTCGGATAAGCAGAGCAAAATATGTCTCAAACCAATGACTTGACAAGGTACATGTGAATGAGTAAAGCATCTGTTTTTAATACTTAACGTCTCCCTTTCAATATCGATTGATGGAATAACCAAGAGCATATAATAAAACGACGATTACAGTAGGTTTGAAGCGAAATACTGAACTCAAGTAATATTGAAAAAAAACCAGGTATTAGTGGAACGATATTACATAGCAAAGCAACAAAGAATACTCGCAGTTATGCTGTATTCATTTGATGATTTATACAACAATGTCATATACAGTGCAGGACGACATGAGTATGCAATATTCTGCTATTACTCCCATGGTAGTTTGTTTTATTTGGATTTATAGCACTATAACGAATATCGCTATTCTTCTTTTACAAGAATTAAATTTCAATAAGCAGAAGAATCATTGACTTGTATTCAAATTCAATTACAAAAGCGAATTAAATGTCCGCTAACGAGATAAATCGCGGAAACATTCTTTCGCGTAAATTTGACCACTGAAGATTTTAATCAGAGAGAAAAAAAAGTGAAAATAAAACTTGGAAAAAAAAAAGTTTAGCAATTGAATTGGAAAAATAAATTCCGCTAAAAATCATCTCTTTAAAGTTCTTGATGCAAATCATTCTCCAGGTAAAGCATGATGGACGGAGAGGTATATAAAGCTAGGTACAATATTTAAGGTGCCTATATCAAAAACGTTCGTTGTTACCAATTCTCATCGTCAGAGCCGTCTTGTTCCTGCTTAGACGCTTACGTTGATATATGGTATGTTATATAGATTTATAATGTGTATGGAATTATTAAAGAAGAGCTTTATTTAGTAAACACCATTACTTTCCTTCTGATGAATAAATCTTTAGTAAGTTCTTTGAAGTATTTTTTCAATGCAAGGGAGGTAAACTAAAAAATCAATTTTAAATGTTAACCTCGCGTATGATAATTCATGAATTGCATAGGAAAAAATATTTAGAAAAAAAAACCAAGACCTATAGATACGGTTAATTGAAATTTAACGCTTGTTAACATTGGTATAAATCTTTTTTGTCAGGGTCAGTGGACAACACATCATTTTTAAAAACTCATCAAAGATACCAGCCTCATTATTAGGTACGCCAGACGTGCGTTTCGTCTATATAATTTGTTATATACTGTCCTATTTCAGAATATTTCATTAGCTTATCAGCTAGTTGCCTTAACATTTCCGTACAATAAGATACTCACTATACAAGAATTTGCAAAGTATATGGGTAATTCTGGAAAGCAGAAATTGAAAATATCTAGAAACTCCTACAAACATTTACTCTGTTCATAAGCCAATGAATTACACATTAGGTAAATCTTGGTTAACTTTTTCCGTCAAAGTATCAATAGAGTTTAACGCATTCTTGTGTTGTTCAATAGCTTAATATTCATTTCATTTCAACGGAACAGTTGATAGGTTCCGGGTATAATATGTTCTTAATTTGCCCTTTGGTATTTACATTCCTGTTCTAATTGCTAGTTTTTATTGGATATTTTCGCCAATCGAAGGAAGACTCCAGAGTGCAAGGAATATTAATGAAATGTGACAATTAAGTGATAAACTAATATTAAATTGTTATAGAGATTCAGAAATCTAGAATCAAGTTGAACGCATAAAGTATTTTTTCGGCAAGTGTTTACAAAATTGTTCAAAATACTTTGCAAAAAATATGTTTCAACGTTAAAGATAAATATACTCAAGTATTCTTTAGATCACATAAATTCAATATTGTCAATAAACCCGAAGAAGAGAAAAGAGAGAACATCATGCATCAATAAACTCTATTGAACGAACAAAAAACAGTTAGTAATGGTTATGATGTTTGTTTGAAAATGATATATACGACAAGCTGTTCAACACTTGGAAGCGATACATATGGACACACAACTAGTAGATAGTTTTACAAATAATTGTCATTAACTGTAAAGTATATTGCGTGATAATTTTTGGAAATTTACCATGGATACAGATAGTAAAAACACAGAAGTTTATTGATAACGTTTCAAGAATAATTTTGCAGAGAAATCCCGAAATTACAACATGCAAAAATCGAAAAAAGACTTTCAGTATATTCAACTTCCTATTTAGTCGAATATAACAAGACTTACGGATGTTCGCTACTGGGTTTCAAAATAACAAGCTTTTTAAAAAAACTGTTATAAATTGATAGTATATGAATAAAGAAGCTAAAAAAGCAGAAAAAATGAAGGGACTGTCACCATTTAATATCCAAGTATATTCTATTCATACCAAATGTGAGTTTTACGCAATTGTAGTTTGAAGCATATGAATCTTTGTAAAACTTTTCATATCCAAGATTTTTGTTTGTACGACATATGCATATATCAATTCAATTATTCTTTAGATGGGTTGGTGCCCCGAAAAAAGAAAGTTAGCTACTTTGTGATTTCCTCCCTTATCTTTTTTGTATTATTAACATTTTGTTTATTTTGATTAAATCCGATGCGAAGTCCGATATACTCGACACAAGTCCATAGCATAGCAAAATAAAATATAACTGAACATAAAACTAAGGACAAAACAGACAAAATAATAAACGATAATTATCTAACGTATCATATGTAACAGTGCAAATAAGAATTCAGTATGATCCAGAATCCTCCTAGTACAAATTGAATTAAAAATATCTACTAATATGAATAGAAATTCTGGTTTATACTAATTAAAATCCAATACAAATCAGATTTCCAATATCTACCAGTAGAAATTGGTTATCTAGATTTGCGCTTGGGCTTGGAGGATCCCAGATTGTACCCAGTTTTTGGTGGAGTTCGTGTTGCTTAGTCTTTGGTTTTCTATGTTGTGTCATCTGTACTATTATTTGTCTGTTTGTCTTTTTATTTTTGTCAATGGCGTTGTCAGTTTGTTTTCGATCTATGTGTTTGACCGTCCCTCTGGTATCTTTCGTCACTCTTTTGTACTAGATGATTACTTAAAAGAAAAAAAAAAAGACACAGTAAAGCAATATTTTGATAATCTAACTTGTCTGAATCAAAAAAAAAAAAAAAAAAAAAAGAAAAAGAAAAAAAAAAAAAGAGGAGGAAGAACTAATTTCCTATAAATTTATTTCACAGCAGAGGCTTTTCTAAAAGTCATTAAATTTTTAATAAAATTCACAGTATCATAGGGTCATATTAGGAACTTTAAGTTAAATATCAATTTGACGTACATTTATTTCCAAACA